TTACGGACCGCTCGCACGCGAACTCGTCAAAATCCAATGTATAGAAGTCATTTATTCATAGAAAGTATAATGACAGAGGGAGACTTTGTACAAAAGTCGAATGCTTGGGTACTTCTGTTCCATTCGTGTTTCTACCGTGAAGCAGTTGTGTTTGCATGGTTGTGTTTCAATTTGAAAGGTGGGATATGGCGTGAATTTACAGGGTACAGAGAAATAACACTTGAGTCCTCAGGAATGGCAACGCATGGGGGGTATCATGGGTGAAACAGTATACTCTGTTATGTCCATGGTACTGCTCATGTCTATAGGCGACGGTTACCACTTTCCATCAGGTGGGCCGTCAGCTTGTTTGCCATTCTAAGTTGTATAAAAAAAATTAACATGATATATATAATTTTTTGCGACTTTCCAGTAGTCAAATTTATGGTTACATTAATCGAAATCAATAGTTACTCTTATTTTTGTTTTATTTTATTAAATCTAACAAAAAGCAGTTTTTAAAAACTCATCAAAAATACGTTGGCTTTTCTCTCTCTCTTTTTTTTTTTTAATTACGTTACCTATGTTTGTAACTTTGGATTTTGTGTTAATTGAAGCTTCCCAATAACGTTATATTTTAAGTTATAAATATAAAATTGCAGTTTACAAAATATTGCAATAACAGAAAATCCTACTTAATTGTAAACGTTTTAAGTTTCTCTTTATAAACAATCAAAACTTTATCTGTTTGTACATTCAAATATGTTTGCTATTCAGCCATGCGTAAACGGGTGAACGGGTTTCAATTCATTAAGATTTCTGAGAATATTTTTATTTAAAAATATATAATATATACAACGTTTTTCTACCATATTTTCAACATTTTTAATCGCAACATATCAAAATATTGGATGCAATTATCACCGTTGCCGGTTATGATGGATATTCGAGTTTTTGGTTCGCAGAAAATCGTATATTGTAAATGCTCCAGATGGATTTGTGGGGCTATTGTTTTAAATGGTACTTATGCTAAAGTTCGGGGCCTAATTTCGCGTGTTTAGGTTTATGTTTGTCTTTGTAGTATAAACTGCGCCAGTACTCGATTACGCAACGATGTGCTACCTCTGTGTGTTGCGTACTCTGTAATTTTGTAAGTAGACAGGTACTAAGTATGTGATGTTAATTACGTTCTTAGAAATAATTACTTATATGATTCTATATAAAGATTAATGTTGATAATGATGAAGGATTTTCCATAGACTCCATTACGAGTGAGTATTTAACCTTGACTTTGAATTTATTTAGAACGTTACTGGAATGCTCTTCCTGATGCTTCCAATTGAGAACAAATTTTTTAAAACTTGTACAATGACCTAACGACATAATATTTAAATTCATAATATAATCTACTTTTTACATTTTTTTTTAATTTTTATAACTATAATAACATTTATAAATTATTTTATTATATAATACGCATATAACTCTTCCCTGCGGCTTTGCCCGTGTTGTATTTATATAATTAGTAGGATTTTGTATTTTTTGATAAAAAAATGTATTATAATGAAATCATAATAATTGGTAACCATAAAATAAATTTATATATGAGTACAAGTATATGACCTAAATAGATTAAACTATATTAAAAATAATTTTCCGATATTTACGAGTATGTTTTTTTACTAGTTATATATCCTGTGGTTTCGCCTGCGTTACATTAATATATAAAGAACTATCCTGTTACGTTAGGTACGTACGAAAACGTTCAGTAGTTTTTGTGTATCAGAGTAACAACCATCTATCCATTTGTTTGTTCTTTTTAGATTCCACTGTAAGAGTTCTATTGATAGCAGCAACAATGATCTTACAAATTGATTTTTGTTTAAATTAGTCAAAATAAAGGCGATATTCCTGGAGATATATAAATTTCCTGAATATGGAGAATGTTGGTTACCTATTTATTAATTTGCGAGTATTAAAATCTATTTAAATAATTAAACTACAAATTTAAAACAACTTAAACGATTTCTGAACCAGGATGAAGAGTCTCAGTTGAATTGTAGGTAATTTTATTTTGTATTTATTATGAATTGTTTAAAGAATGTAAAAAGACAAAAAGTAGGTGGGACACTGTTATTTACCAGAGGGAGACTTTGTACAAAAGTCGTTTGCTTGGGTACCTCTGTCTTATTCGTGTTTCTACCGTGAAGCTAAGTGTCACTGTTATTCAAATACAACCGTATTTGAATGGCTGTGTTTCGATTCGAAGGGTGGGGTATAACAGTGAATTTACAGTATAGAGCCATAACACTAGTCCTCAGGAATAGCATCATGATAACTCATCGAAGGTATCATGGAAGAAACGGAATTTTAATACGGGAAGCTCCAAATTTTTGTTGGTTTTCGGACCATGGTTTAGAAATTCAGGTAAAAATTTAAAGTTTGATTCATCAAACACTCTCTTAAATGTAAACTAATAACTTTTGTTTCATCGTATGGACCATAATTTGTATGTATTTACAATATATATATATATATATATATATATATATATATATATATATATATATATATATATATATATTGTATAACGCTGTTTGAACTTAGATGGCGCTGTGTATTATGTGTGGTGGTATTTATTTATGACGTATTTTCGTGGCGTAACATAATGCAATTTATAAGGAAAACTAATAAGGCAGAGACTTAATAAGGCTAATTAATATAACTATATCTGTTTCTGGGTAATTCCTATTAAGATTACGTGACGTGTAATTTTACCCGACTACTTTGCACGTGTTGATCTCGTTTCACTCATTGCTATATTATAAGTATCGTCACAAAAGGAGGCGTTTCTCGATTCGGTTGTATTTTTTTTTAAGTGTATGCGATTAAATTATGCCGCCTATTCTAAACGATGTTTAATAATTCTTTAAACAATCGATTGGATTTACTTCCGTGTTAGTTTTATATTAATTTTGTGATTCAATCGTCAGCTCTTTTTCTCTGCAGAGCAAAAATTATTGCGAGGCAAAATCTATTTACAGTTAAACATAATTCTCTATTCATATCAATAAATCGATTCGTATTTTTAATCTATTACGTTTACAAAACGTCTATGTGGTTTATTTGTATCTTTTATTCGTTTCAAAATAAGAGTATTAATATTATTTGTCACTATTGAAATCTCTATTTTTTCTTCAGTGACATATATTCGTCTTTTTATAAAATACAATGGTTTTTTTTATGGAAATTTCATAAAAATTATGACATAATTTGAAAATCATTACAAATATTAAATATGTAAAAGTAAGATGGTATTTCTGTTATCTTTTGGCACATTAACAGTTCAACCAATATTCACGACATCTAATCGATATTTGGCATAGGTTAGAGTAACATTAATTTTATTATCAATATTATATTTTATATTAAATAGGGTATTTTTGAAATATTATTTCTAAGTTTAAATATATATTGATAAAAATTATAACGTTTCTTTTTGCTTCGCGGTAGTCGGGTAAAAATGGAGCGACACCGAATCTGATAATATAGGCCAATAAAAATAGGTTTCTTAAATAAGAAGCTTAGTCTGGCCTTTATGTCAGCTAGTAAGTTGAAGTTTGTTCTAGATATATCAGAAAATTTCCGATTAGATACATTGTTTGCTTCTGTGATAATTTGCTAATGAGAATCAAGATAAGAGTATAGAGACATAGACAGTGATACCAGAATTATTTTTACCCAGTTACAATGAAGCAAAAGGAAGATTAAGATTTTGACCGACATATACGCTCATTTTTTTTATACAACTTAGAATGGCAAACAAGCTGACGGCCCACCTGATGGAAAGTGGTAACTGTCGTCTATAGACATGAGCAACATATAATCATCATCTTCATATCAGCCGTTAACTGCCCACTGCTGAACATATACCTCCCCGTATTAGGACGTTTTGCCAATAGTTGCCATGCTTAGCAGGCGAATCTGCAATCGCAGTTTATTCTACTTTCTTACTTGTATAAAAAAATATTTGATACATCACATCGTAAAGTGAAAAATCGTTGATGGTCGTTGATTTCTGATATAAAATATATCGGAGTTAATATTCAAATGAATTCGTATACAGTTGAGTATTTATGAAAAGTCATAATTTCATATTTGTTTATTTAATTTGTTGTTCATTTTAAATATTAAATGCAGCCTTTTAATATGTTAAGTTTTTTTTATGTATATATTACGAATTAAGTATGATTAGGTCACTGTGAGTGAAAACCGCTATGCGTGAAATTTCATAAGTGAAACCAATGTTTTGTAACATTGAAGAGATAATTTCACAAAATGATAATGTATCAGTATTAAAAGTAATAATAATTTTCATGCTTAGTACCTAGTGGTCGCTTACCTATGTCGAATGCAAGCTTACTTTATATTATTCAACTTCACTGAGTTCATTACCGAACCTACTCAACTTCCAAACACTGCATCCTACTGTCTCTCCAACAACTCTTTATAGCATTAGGTGGAATAACTCTAGGACACTATTAGACTTCGCTGCAACTAATGGATCGCCTCTATGCTTAGAACGGGCAACTTTTATAGATAAGTAAAATCGAGTTAGTGCTGACTCCAAAATAGCGCTTAAGTTAATTGTTAGTGCTGTTTTTGTTGCATTACAACAGGGAACGAAGTTAATTTGTTGTTGTTAAATATACTTTATTAAATTTTAAGTATACTTCTTATATCCCAAATGTTTTGTAATATATTTATATTTTTTCTGCATTTTTGTATTTAACCTCATATTTATTGTGATAAAAATCCAAGGATCCTTTAGATTTACTATATTTAAATAGGTTTTTATAAATATTTTACAATTAATTTTAAGATTAAATTTTTTATGCCTAACAACATTCTCAGACTTTATATTTACATACATTTTCACTAAAGAATGTTACAAAAATAATAATTCATATTCGTAAATACTTGTAATATCGTAGAGGGGAAAAATATAAATAAGTACTTACTAGGCGAATCTGCGAGTAAATCTCCGTCTTCTTGCGCCGGCGACTTCACCGAACTCGGTGACATTTTGATGGGAGCGTGCGGTGACGCCATTGGTCCCGAGCTCGCGCTGCCTGCACTGCTCGCAGGACCCGCGTTCGAACTGCCGTGCGACGTTGTGATAGTAATTTCTCCATTCGACGCAGCAAGCCTGCACCATAAATATTGATTTTGAATTTAATTAATCTATAAAAAATATTTGTTTTGGAAAATATTTTAAAATACTAATAGAGTTAATTATTCTTATATAACATTTTTTACTCGAAAATGTTTTCGAAATGTTTTGTAATGGTAAATATCAATCAATCAAAACAAAATTAAAATATTTACGTATCATTTATAAACTTGAAAAATCGAATACAATAAATTAAGAAGTGTACTTAGAGGCATATTTAAATTCTGAATATTTTTAGCTAGTATTAAAATTAATTTATATTTAATAAAATAATATTCTTTAATGCACAAATTTTCGAGTAGTTACTCTACCTAGTTTGATTTGTTTTTTAAGGGATGAAATAAGTGTTTATTTAGATAGGTATTTTATAATATCACTGTTTCCGGCATAGAATGAGGCTTTTTTTTCTTTTCTGTGGGTGTCGTAAGAGGCGACTAAGGAAACTTAATGATTGAGGGACGGGGAGCAGCGTTTTTTTTTAAATATTACTAAGACCTAAACAACGGTTGTTAACTTGCCTGTTAAGCGTGGTAACTATTGGTAAACACGTTGGTCAGTTAATAGCTGGTAAAATAATAATCATAAAATTTTATAATATATTATGCAGTTGTATGCAAATACCTTAATTTATTTTTACAATCGATAGAGTTTATTCCCATGTTAGTCTCATGTTAATTTTGTGAATGTGATCAAAGTTGTGTATGATTTTTTACATGATTCCACATTCTAAATTCAAATATTTCCAGTCCAATGAGATTGTAAATTTTTAATTTAGAATGCGGAATGCTGTAAAGAAACATGGCAACTTTAATCTACGAAACATGTCGTTCATCAGTGTGTTTTGTCACGATTGAAGCTGCTATTTTTTGCGGAGCAAAATATACTTGTTCCCGTTTAGAAACAATAGTGTTGCACTTAAAGCGACTGCAGCGCTGTACAAATGAGGTGCGCGGTTCATTAAGCGCACCGCTGCATTAGCGGTAATTGCCAGCTAATTAGGGTCTCATCCGTTGCAACAGCTCATACATACGCAATTTCATTATACATCATACGCTGACACCTGATGCAATAACTATGATGTTATTTTAGCATTCTCTAATTGTTACTAAAAAGATAAAAATATGTACTAAATAGTACCTTTTAACTTAATATAACTACTTTGTCATTCACTACAGTGTGATTCCAGTATAGAATAGGCCACCCCTTCCTTTCCCGTGGGTGTCGTAAGGGGTGAATAAGGGAGGGCGAAAATAAAGTCACTTGTCCACATTCGTTTATTTGCTAGAAATCGTGAAACTACTTGTTTAATTCGATTGTAGTTTTCTCCATCCTTCAGATAATTTCTCGAAGAAGAAGGTTTAAGTTTATGTTTATAAATAGCCAAGTTCTCCAATCAACTTTAAGAAACACAAACATTTACAGTTATTTCTTGGCAAGTGGGACTTAGATATAACTTTATTTTTCCGTTGACGCTCGAGATTGTTGGCACTTGGTACTTCTTTTTTTTTTTTTTTAATAATATTTATTCATAACGAACTAAGTTGTAGAGCGAAGATAGTTAGAACACAACCTCCGATATAATTAACTATTGGTATTACCTCGAGAATAATAGCACAATGTCACATATATTAATAAAAAAACCGGTCAAGTGTGAGTTGGACTCGCGTAACGAGGGTTCCGTACAAAATCATCAAGTTAATTTCTTTTTTGTGAAATAACTACAAATTTACAGTTTCCGGATTTTTTCTTTTACTTTTTGTCTACATTGCTTCTTGCTAAATTTCATGATTGACCTAAAACGGGTAGTACCCTATAGGGTTTGATTCCCTTTGCATATGTCAAAATATGCGATATAAATGAAACATAAACGGCCGTATCTTTTGATTGCGTCGATTTATAAGTTTGATTTTTTCACTGGTTTAAGAGATTGTTGATACTCAGGGTATATGATATTAATTTCAATTTGATACCTTCACGCGTTCTTTAAAAAAAAAGGCCTTGACAGACGGACGGAAAACAAAGTGATCCTATAAGGGTTCCGTTTTTCCTTTAGAGGTACGGAACCTTAAAAACACAATAAAAATGGCCGAGTTAATAAATATCTAGCTACGTGTTATTAATTTATATGTAAATTCAATATAATAAGAACTGTGCATGGTTTACGAGTGCATGTGCTATTATTTAGCGTTCGTATAATGACAAGAAAAACAAGGGTGCACACATACGCAACGGTGTACTTGTGTGCACTTACACACACCAAGACGTAAAACATTAATTGTTCCTTTAATTTATTAACATGTACAGTACAGGCGACGACATAAGTGTGTCGCAAATTATTTATTTAGTTACAATTATTTTACGTTGAATTACACACACAAATTTAATTTAGTTGCGTAACGTTGTGGTTACCTGTACATCGAGAATGGGCCTTCGGATAATTATTTTGAATATTATAAAGGTACGGGGCTTTAATTACTACCTTATTTTCTTGTCATTCAAGTTGCCTTCAGTTAAGGCGACGAGCGAATACGACTTTTTTATTTTATATATATATTATACAACTTAGAATGGCAAACAAGCTGACGGCCCACCAGATGGAATGTGGTGACCGTCGCCTATAGACATGAGCAGTACCATGGACATAACAGAGTATACTGTTTCGCCCATGATATCCCCCATGCGTTGCCATTCCTGAGGACTCAGGTGTTATTCTTCTATGTGTGTACTGAATTTACAGGGGTAAATTCACGCCATATCCCACCCTTCAAACCGAAACATAGGCATGCAAACACAACTGCTTCAACGGTTGAAACACGAATGAGACAGAGGTACCCAAGGATTCTAAGGATAGTATTAAATAAAAAAAAGACTCTAACTCAATACTCTGTTTATGTTCAGTGTAATGATGTAGATTGAAACTTCTAATAATATGATCTTAGTAAATATTTATTTGGTAGATATGATGTGAACACTTCTAACTAAGGAAGATGTACAAAATTGAGCAAAATGAAGCAGCAGGAGAACTGGCCTTGATTATAGCTAGGATTAAAACTAGAAAGAAAAAAACATATTATTAAAACTGTTAACAAGTTCATGTCTACACTTCTGCTCGTCATGCTATTTGTATTAAATAAAAATAAAAAAATCTCACACTACTGAATGACTTACTAAAAACGTCTGAGGTAATATTTAAAGAGTTTTATAATCTTCATACTTAAATATAACTATTTAATAAAAAATTAATTGCTCTAAGACATAATTTTTTATAATTTAATAACCAAGAATTAATACACAACACAGGCATACATATAACTGTTGTTCTAAAATTCTATCATCAAATATCAATAAATGTAATCACATTTTGATTGATCATAATAACTGATAAATGTTGAATAGAGACGCCAAAACTACTTTTAGGCTATCCTGACTCTTAAATCATAATTATATGAACATAAAATGCAACGGGTTTACATTGGAATGAAAGAATAATGTCCGCCCAAAGGTACGATTAATAAAAGAAGGGTCGCTTTTTATCGGAGCCAATAATTGGTTTGTAAATGTATATATAGGAGATTTATAATAAATATAAGCAGATTTTGCTCAGTCGCAAAAACAGAGACTCAATCATAACCATATTAATATTAACTATTAACCTCATTGATTTCTTTTAATGAATAGAGTGAATGAACGACGCGGTGTTTCATGGTTAGTGAGAATATTTGAATTCAAAGGGCAAAATTGTTTGTTTACAACACCAGTACAATAAGTAGATTTTACTCAGCAATAAAAATATTTTACTCATCAAATATAATGCCTTATATTGTGATAAAATTGATATAGACAGTAAGGCTGAATCCACACTGCAGTGTCGTTCTCAGTACGCTCTCGGTATGGTCAGTACAAACAGTTCGAGATTGATCGGAACGAGACTGGATTATAGTATTAGTATACACATTGTTTCTTATGTAATAATATTTCACGAGACTGAGAGCGCAGCGACAACGAACCGAGAATGGCACTATAGTGTGGATTCAGTTTTAATTTCACTGTTCTTATTTTAATTTGAATAAAAAAAGAATTGAATAGAATGCATTGATGAATGACGAGATGTTTCATGGCTAGTGAGAATATTTGATTTCAGAAGGTGGAATTGTTTGTCTACGAATAGATTTTACTCGGCAATATAAAATGTATTTTGCTCAGCAAAGAAAAACAATGGAAACAAATATGGATGGAAAATAGTCGATGTCAAAAAAGAAATAATATCTGTTCAACATTTATGATGATATTGCTTAAATAAATATAACAAGACGAATATAGAAACATATCTTTATTTAATATTGGTATAAGTTTTTTGATTAAGAATTAAGTAGTAATTTTTTATCCATTTTAAATAAATTTATACTATATTCTATAGTACAGGAATTATTCCTAGAGATAGGCCGCACAGGCATACTTTGTACTTAAGTCGTTTGTTTGGGTAGCTCTGTCCCATTCGTATTTCTACCGTGATGCAGTTATTTGCATGACTATGTTTCGGTTTGTGGGATATGACAATGAAATTACAGTACATTAGTGTACAGAGACATAACACCTTAGTTTTTAGAGATGGCAACGTATGAGGGGTATCATGAGCGACACAACTTTTTGTTATGTACATGGTACTGTTTATATTTATATGCGACGGTTATGACTTACCATCAGGTGCGCCTTCGGCTTGATTGCCATTCTAAAAAAAATGTTTAAGTTGTGTAAAATGACTACTATATCTACTTATATCGTTTAAATTTTTTAGCTTTTTTTGCAATTTAAATGACTAAAAGAAGCTCAAGTATATTTTAGTTTAATACTATTAGTTTTAAAATAATAATATATAAAATTAGACTATTTGTTTTGTTGAATAACAGGAATTAGGAATAACGTTCATATTATTAATGAAGTCATTACATATAGCAATATATGTATAATGAGCTCAT